GCCACCAGGGAAGCCCACGTTACCATATTTTTAATGAGCAGATCCTCTCCTATCTGTATGCATTTTTTCCTGTTCCTTGCTTCACTGTGCACTGGCTAGGCCTCCAGCACAGTGCTGAATGTGAACAGTGGGAGGGTGCATGTTGGTGTCCTTCCCAAGCACTTAATATTTCAATCCAAACATTGAAAACATTCAGTATTTTATCATCCTGCCCCAGATGGCTAGCTCTTGGTTTTTTGAAGATACCTTTATGAGGTTGAGGAAGTTCCCTTCAACTGCTAGTTTGCCAAGAGTTTTATAATGAATGGACGCTGACGTTTTTCCAGTGCTTTTTGTGAATATTATTGAAATGGTCACGTGGATTTTCTCCTTTGCTCTGTGAGTATGGTGTTACCGGTTGAACTGTGTTCCCGAAAAAGATATGTTGAAGTCCTGACTCTCAGGATGTAGGAATGTGACCTTATTTGGGAATAGGGTCTTTGCAGAAGTAATCAAGGTGAGGCCATGAGGGCGGGCCCCACTCCAACATGACTGATATCACTGTAAGAAAAAGGACACGCCTTGTGAAGACAGCCACGTGACGTGTCTACAAGCTGAGGAACACCGAGGACTGCCGGCAAACGCCAGAAGCTGGAAAGCGCAAGGAAGTCTTCTCCTCTAACGAGTTTCAGAGGGACCCTGGCCACCAACAACACGATTTCAGACTTCAAGCCTCCCGAACTGTGAGGCAAAATATTTCTGTTGTTGAAAGCCACACGGATTGTGGTGCTTTGTTAGGGCAGCCCCAGGAAACAAATACATGTGGTGAATGACCTGGACTGATTTAAAATGTTAAACCATACTTGCATTTCACTTGGTCACAACACTTTGTATGTATTACTGGACTGGATTTGCTTGTATTTAGTTAAGGTTTTCTGTGTCTGTGTTCATGAAGAATATTATCTGTAGTTTTCTTGGGATGTACTTGTCTGGTTTTGGTATTAAGGTATTTTTCTTTTAATGTCTTTGTCTTATTTTTATTTATTTATTTTTTTTGCGGTACGCGGGCCTCTCACTGCTGTGGCCTCTCCCGTTGCGGAGCACAGGCTCCGGACGCGCAGGCTCAGCGGCCGTGGCTCATGGGCCCAGCTGCCCCGCGGCATGTGGGATCTTCCCGGACCGGGGCACGAACCCGCGTCCCCTGCATTGGCAGGCGGACTCTCAACCAACTGCGCCACCAGGGAAGCCCGTCTTTGTCTTATTTTGATATCAAACTTTTACAGAAAGAGTTTGGAGAAATAGTTTTTTTTTTAAGACTGTTTTTTATGGGAAGTTTAAGGTTCACAACAAAATTGAGAGGGGGGTACAGAGAATTCCCCATATACCCCCTCCCCGTACATACGCATTGCTTCCCGCATTTTGTCATCACTCACCAGAGTGGTGCATGTATTACCAGGAATGAACCTACATCGACACATCATAATCCCTCAAAGTCAGTGGTTTGCCTTAGGGTTCACTCTTGTTTTTCTCTATTCAATGAGTTTAGATGAACTGGGGAAATGGCTTTGTATTCAAATTTTCCGTTTGTTTGTTGCTACTGTCTAGAAATACAATTGATATATGTGTATTGGTGTTGCATCCTGCAACTATGGTAAATTCACTTATTCTAGTTCTAGCTGGGTTTTCTTAGCATTTTTCATATATTTCCATATGCACCTTCCTTTCCAATCTTTATGCCTTTTTTTCCCTGCCTGCTTCACAGGCTGGGACTTCCAGTCAACGTTGAGTAGAAGGGAGAGTGGACAACTTGTTTTATTGCTAATCCTAGGGGGAGAATGTTCAGTCTTTCACTTTATGTATGAAGTCAGCATTAGACTTTCAGAGATGCTGTTTATCAGGCTGAAGAAGTTTCCTTATAATCCTAGTTTGCAGAGTTAAAATCATGAATGGGTATTAAATTTTGTCAAAATTTTTCTGCATTATTTATCTTTTTCCGCAATTTATATTTTCTGCAGATGAGATGATCATATGGTTCTTTTGAAATGGTGAGTTACACTGATTTTTCAAATACGTGAACCAACGTTACATTCCTGGCATATGCTCTGCTTGCATTCGATTGCTATTACTTTTTCCTTTAGAAGTTCAATAGAATTCGCTAGAGAAGCCATCTGGACCAGGAGTTTTCTTTGTGAGGAAGGTTTTTTTTTTGTTTTTTTTTTAATTGTGGTAAAATACACATAACAGTAACCTTTTTTTTTTTTTAAGATTTAATTTTAGGGGCTTCCCTGGTGGCACAGTGATTGAGAGTCTGCCTGCCGATGCAGGGGACACGGGTTCGTGCCCCGGTCCGGGAAGATTCCGCGTGCCGTGGAGCGGCTGGGCCCGTGAGCCATGGATGCTGGGCCTGTGCATCCGGAGCCTGTGCTCCGCAACGGGAGAGGCCACAGCAGTGAGAGGTCCGCGTACCGCAAAAAAAAAAAAGATTTAATTTTAATTAGTTTTGGCTGTGTTGGGTCTTCATTGCTCTGCACGGGCTTTCTCCAGTTGCAGCGAGCAGGGGCTACTCTTTGTTGCGGTGCACAGGCTTCTCATTGCGGTGGCTTCTCTTGTTGTGGAGCATGGGCTCTAGGCCCGCAGGCTTCAGTAGTTGTGGCACAGGGGCTCAGTAGTTGTGGCTCGCGGACTCTAGAGTACAGGCTCAGTAGTTGTGGCGCATGGGCTTAGTTGCTCCGCGGCATGTGGGATCTTCCCGGACCAGGGCTTGAACCCGTGTCCCCTGCATTGGCAGGCGGATTCTTATCCACTGCGCCACATGGAAAGTCCCAGTAACCATTTTTTAGGTGTACAGTTCAATGGCATTGAGTGCCACGAATTTAATGGCTTGTAACAACGAAAATGTACTGCCTGCAGGTCTGAAGGTAACAAGTCTGAAATGAGACCTAACAGGGTTAAAATCTAGATGTCGGTGGGACGGGCTCCTTTTGGAGGCTCCAGTGGAGAATCCATTCCTTGCCTCTTCCAGCTTGTAGAGGCTACTGGCATTCCTTGGCTGATGGATGCATTCCTTGACTTTCTGCTTTCAACAGCACATGGCCTTGTCCCTAACTTTGACCGTCTTTGACAATTCCTTTTGTGCAGCACCCTTGTAATTACATTGAACCCGCCCGGATCATTCAGGGCACTCTTCCCATCTCAAGATCCTTAACTGTGCACATCTGCAAAGTCCCCTTTTCCATGTCAGGTAACATATCCACAGGTTCTGAGATTAGAACCTCTTTGAGGGGGCATTATTCTTTGAGGGGTTATTATTCCATCTATCACAGTCCATCCTCTGCCCCGCAAAGATTCACATCCATCCAATATGCAAAATACATTCATCCCATCCCAACATCCTCCAAAATCTCAACCCTGTATAGCATCAACTCAAAGTCCACAACCTCATCTAAATCTTATTAGCTCACAAGTCACAAATCTCATCATCCGAATGATGTAAGTCAGGTGTGGGTTTGACTCTGTGTATGATTCACCCTGAGGCAAAATTCCTCTTCATCTGTACACTTAGAAAAGAAATGATCTGATCCCAAAATACAATAATGAGATAGGCACGGGGTAACAGTTATAGACATTCCCATTCAAAAAGGGAGAAAATGGAAGGAAAAAGAAACTGCAGTCTCAAGCAATTTTGAAATCCAGTGAAGCAAACTCAATTAGGTTTCTTTTATTCTTTTTTAATATTTTTTAATATATATATTTTTTTGACCGAACAACTTGTGAGGCGTTAGTTCCCAGACCAGGGATGGAACCCGGCCCTCGGCAGTGAAAGCAGAGTCCTGACCACTGGACCGCCAGGGAATTCCCTCAGTTAGGTTCCAAGGAATTATCCTCTGTGGCTTAATGTTCTGTCCTCTGGGCCCACAGCTCCACCCTGAATCTTCTTCCTTTTTCATCCGGGGTAGCACATGCTTGCAGCTGAGCAGTAGTATGAGGTTGTTTCCTGCCTGTAGAGTTTTGAGGGTCAGACAGCCTTCTTTCATTTCATCCTTCTCTGTCCTTGTCAGTCGAAGCTGGCAGTGTTTCTGCTGATATAACATGCTCAAAAACCTATGGATCTCCCATGTACGTCATCACAGGTCTTTCCTGAATAATTCCATCTCTGTTTTTTGCTTCTACGGAGATGGCACACACCTAATCTTCAAAGAGCCCTCTGTGTCACCAAATGTTGTGACCTTTTGTTCCTCTCTAGGCACCAGAAAAATGTTGTTCAGCCACACCTTTGGCTTTCTCTTCAAAGCACGCTTTCCTGACAGTCTCCTAATTTTACCATCTTTTGCAATCTAAATAGGTTCTTTTTCATATAACTGTAGGATACAGTCTAGCTAAGCTTTCTGTCACTATATATAGCAATATCCCTTTTTCATACAGTTTCCAACAACATGTTTCTTATTTTTTTCTGACCCCTCCGTAGATGGGATTTTTTTTTTTTTTTTTTTGCTGTACGCGGGCCTCTCACTGTTGCGGCCTCTCCCGTCGCGGAGCACAGGCTCCGGACGCGCAGGCTCAGCGGCCGTGGCTCACGGGCCCTGCCGCTCCGCGGCATGTGGGATCCTCCCGGACCGGGGCACGAACCCATGTCCCCTGCATTGGCAGGCGGACTCTCAACCACTGCGCCACCAGGGAAGCCCCAGAGGTGACTTTAATGTCTGTATTGCTACCAACAGCCTGTTTATGACAATTAGGTACCACCATCTAAAATGATGTAGGTTTTCTGTACCACAGTTAATATCCATATGCCTAGTAACAGCCTATTCAAGGCAATCAAGGCATCTTCTATGACACTTCTCAAAATTCTTCCAGTCTTTACCTAATTCCAAAGCCAATTCCACATTTTTGGATATTTGTTATAGCAATACCCCACTTCCCACCACCCGTATCAGTATTTTGTACTTTTTCGTTGCAGTGTTGCAATCTATTATTTGACTATAGCAATATGTTCATCCAGTCTGTTGTTAATAGGCATTTGGGTTATTTCCAGTTTTCAGCTATTTGCATGTGGCTTCTAGGAATGAGCCTTTTTTGGTGGACATATGCTTTTATTTCTCTTGGGTAAATGTCTGGGAGTGGGATTTCCTCAAGGGTTATTCTTTTCCCACTCTTGGTCCACTGTGGACACAGCCAGATTCCAAGCTGCTTCTAAAGGCTGGTAGGTTATCCCTTCGTTAATCCTGATTTTATCTAGGAAGTTCAGGTCCATTCCCAGGACCTAAGCCTTCGTCTCCTATTGCTTTAACCCAAGTTCCTAAGACCTTTATTATTTCTGAAAGCCCTGTGAGTTGTTAGCTTCAGCTTTTGTTCATCCCTGTAACTTAAAGTTCCCCCTATATCTGGCACCTTTTCTTGCTTTTGACTGCAACTATGTATTAAAAACAGTTTTGGGGGTAAAATGTTACCTAGCATTTCTAGATGTTTGGGGAAGAGGGTGAATATACTTCTACATCAGTTCAGACCATCATAAGAAGTCTCTGATTTAGGACTTTACCTTTGAGGGACAGCTTTTTGGAGCAAGTAATATTGATATATCCATTTTACAGGTGAGCAAACTGAAGGAAGTCAAGTAGCTTGTCCAAAGTCTAATTCGGACAGCCAACATGTTTGAGATATTTAAAGCTTCCTGGGGCTCATGAAGGATGGGAGCAAATCCCTTTACTCCAGGTAGGAATTTTAGAATGGATATTTGAGAGGTACTGCCTGAGAAGGTAACTCAGAATGTTACAGGAGGATTTGATTTCATGATCTTCACAGTATTAAATGAGATGATACTGGTTCAGCACTTAGCACACTGCCTGTAACATAGTAAGTGGTAAAAAAATGTTTGGGGGACTTCCCTGGTGGTCCAGTGGTTGGGACTCAGTGCTTCCACTGTGGGGGGCACGGGTCAGGGAACTAAGATCCCGCATGCCGTGTGGCACGGCCAAAAACCAAAATAAAGTTTGGGACTATTGATATTATTAATTAATTAATTAATTAATTTATTGGCCATGGCGTGTGGGATCTCAATTCTCCCACCAGGGATTGAACCTGTGCCCCCTGTAATGGAAGTGCGGAGTCTTAACCACTGGACCACCAGGGAAGTCCCTTGATATTATTAATGAAATTATTGTATTTTTTTCTGCTTTTAGAGTCCTTCCCCTTCCCCACAGTATGATTTACAGAGCCATAAGCAGCTTCCCTACCAAGCCTCCTAAAAGAAGAGGTTATGGGTGGGGATTTCCCTGGTGGCACAGTGGTTAAGAATCCGCCTGCCAATGCAGGGGACACAGGTTCGAGCCCTGGTCCAGGAAGATCCCACATGCCGTGGAGCAGCTAAGCCCGTGTGCCACAATTACTGAGCCTGCGCTCTAGAGCCCGCGAGCCATAACTACTGAAGCCTGTACGCCACAACTACTGAAGCCTGCACGCCTAGACCCCGTGCTCCGCACCAAGAGAAGCCACTGCGATGAGAAGCCTGCGGACTGCAACGAAGAGTGGCCCCCGCTCACTGCAACTAGAGAAAGCCTGCGCGCAGCGACAAAGACCCAGCGCAGCCAAAAATAAATAAATAAATAAGAGGTTATGGGTGGACCAGAGTTTCCTGATTAAGACTTTGAAGATAAATTGCTAGCTTTGTAGCACAGGGGAAATGCCACAGGGGCTATGGGGATGGTCTCTGGTACCAGACAGCGTGGATCTGAATCCCAGACCTTCTGTCACCTAGCTCTGGGGTCTTAGTGTGTTGAAGTTCTCTGGCTGCACTGGAGATAATCATACTACTATTTCCTAGATTTATCGTGAGGAGTTGATGCGTTTCTAAAGCAAAAGCATGTATAAGAGTGCTCAGTACATAGCAGGCACATTCAGTAATGTCAGTGTGCTTAGTATTCAGTGCTGTTTACCAGACATTCCTGGCTTTCTGTCTTCCGGGGACATGGTAGTGTCCCACTTGTGGCTCGCTAGAGCCATGACACAAGTTCTGGCCAATGAATTTTGGGTAGAAGCGTTGTGTGTCACTTCTGGGCCAGAGCAGTTAAATGCTCCAGAGTACTTTCCCTTTGTCAGGATGGCAGAAATTCCAGATGGTGGCTGCCCCCTTATCCTGGGTTTCGGGCTGACGAGGATGAACATAAACCTTCGTTGTTTCAGGCCTCTGAGATTTGAGATTGTTACTGCAGCATGATTGAGCCTCTCCTGACTAACATGTGAACTACTGTTAATATTTCTAGGATATACTCCTCAAAGCATTTAGTAACTCTTTTGAAGGGTCCTTAGTAGGACTTGGAAATGCTTGCATTTTTGTAGGATAACTGATGGTAGCCCCTTTCGGCATGACCCCCTGTGTAGTGCGCCCCAACTTCAGTGCTCTGCATTCCGAGTTCTGTCAGTTTGCTTACAGAGTTCTCATTTTCATGAATGGAAAGCAATAAAAGTGACTTCAAAAACATTAACAGTCTTAATGTAATTGGATTCTTGCCACTAATCAAAGGGTTTTAAAATTCAGAAATTCCTGGCTCCCCTGGTGGCGCAGTGGTTAAGAATCCGCCTGCCAATGCAGGGAACACGGGTTCCAGCCCTGGTCCAGGAGGATCCCACATGCCACGGAGCAACTAAGCCCATGCGCCACAATTACTGAGCCTGCGCTCTAGAGCCCGCGAGCCACAACTACCGAAGCCCACGTGCCTAGAGCCCGTGCTCTGCAACAAGAGAAGCCACAGCAATGAGAAGCCTGCGCACCGCAACAAAGAGTAGCCCCCGCTCGCCACAACTAGAGAAAGCCCACGCACAGCAACGGAGACCCAACGCAGCGATAAATAAATAAATGAATAAATAAATTTATTTTAAAAATCAGAAATTCCGTTTTCTATTTACCATTTCCTGAATGAAACAGAAATAGTATAAGGATTAGGCTTCTCTGGCGAGGATCTAAAGAAGTTACAGGCAGGCATATTTCAGTGCACACGCTTCCCAAGCGCTCTCTCACCGTTAGAGATACCTGGCAGTGTAGCCCACAGCTTGTAAGGACTGAACTCCCTCTTCTGGAGGCATTCACAACCAGTCGCGTCGGAACCAGTGGTTCATTTTTCCTTCCACAGCACCCACGTTTCCAGCCCCAACACCCACTGCACTCTGTGTGGTGTGAGAATCCTGTGTTCTGCTTCTCCATTCAATTCCAGCAGGAACTTTGGAGGGTGGGGATGTCTCCTGGTTATCCCTGTGTGGCGTCCCTTACTCTCCTCTCTCATGCCGTAAAAAATTCCATACCTAGCAAATGCTCAGGAAATGTTTGTGAGAATAAAACAAACTTTCAACTTAGAGCAGTGGTCTTCCACCTGGGCTGCACCTTAGCATCATCCAGGGAACTTTAAAAAAAAAAAAATCCCGTGTCCGGGCCATACCCGAGACCAATTAAATCAGAACTCCTGGGGGTGGGCTTCAGGCCGAGTATATTTGAATGCTCCCCAGGTGATGAGTGCCGCCAAGATGCAGGACCACTGAACTGGAGGCCGTGTGACCATATGTCAGGGGTGTTAAAGTAAAATAATAAATGTCATGTGCTGTTATTCTTGAGTAATGTCTGACTTTACACTTGTTTAATGCTTCACAGCTTTCAAGGTGCAGTGAATGTGTAAACATTTAATAAAGATCTTCTAGTCTAGCAGGGGACAGAGATATGTATCAAATAATGCCAGGAAGTTAGAGAGGCGGGGGGGGGGGGGGGGGGGGGGGGGAATGTGTGTGCCCCAGGCTTGGGAGGGGAGAAAGTGCCGAGCACAGCATTCGATGCAAAACCAGCCTAAAGGAAGCCCATGGTGGCAGGAGGAAACGGCATCCCGCTGTGGCCTGGGAAAGCTGCTGTATGCCCACCTGTGGCAGAGGTACACCGCTTCCTCAGTTGTGCTGGGGCCGAGGATCGTTGTTGGTGCCAGCCCACAAAGAGGTCCGGTAGCTATAGCAAGGAGAACTAACTACCTGGGGAGACTGGGGCCCTTCCTAGGACCCTGACAGGGACCCTGGGCTCTCGATCGCTGTTACCAGCTCCCTGGGTGTTTATAGGTGTCCCAGTTTTAGGAGGTCCAAGGTCCTTACTTTTGAAACCAGGCCCTCCCTAATGGAGCCCTACCAATCGCTCCAGCTTCCTCTGCTGCTCCCACTTTTAGCCTTGGTAAGACCACAGCGTTTGCAGCTGTGTGATGCCTCAGGGCCTTCGTGCCTGCGGGGACCCACTTCCTCCTTCTCCTGCTGAATTCCTCATTCCTCCAGCCTCAGCTCAGGCTCTACTCATCCTGGGATCCCTTAACCCCGGCAGGGCCGGGGGAACCCTCTTGTACGGCGCTCCCACAGCCTTGTTTTGGAAGTCAGGACACTGGATCCATTCGGGTCGCCCGTCTGTCCTCCAGACGGGGAAGGTACCAAATGCATCTTTGTATCCTCAGCACCCAGCACAGGGCCCGCCTGGCCTCCAGGCGACAGTCAGGAGACCTGAGTGAGTGAGCCAGTGAGTGAATGAGTAAGAGGGTGGTAAGTGAACGAACGACTGAATGACAAGGTGGGTAAATGAGCGAATGAGCTAGTGGGTGAATGAATGAGCGGGTGAACGAGTGGGCGGACGAGAGGGTGCGCGTGTGAATAAATGAATGAATGACTGAGTGGGTTGCCTGAGTGAGGGCAGGTGGGGACTGAACGAGTGGGCGAGGGTGCCGGCAGCGAACAGGCGGGCTGGAGCGGCGGACGCGGCAAGGCTGAGCGCGCGCCCGGACCGCGCCACCTGCCCTACCCGGGGCAGCGTGGCCTGGGCGGGACGGGGCGGGACGGGGCGGGGCGAGGCGAGGCGAGGCGAGGCGAGGAGAGGATGGGAGTGGGCGTGGCGAGGTCGGGCGTGGGCGTGACAGGCCCTGGAGGGCGGGGATAAGCTGGGAGTGGGCGCGGTAGGCCCGGGTGTGGGCGGGGCGAGGCCAGGCAGAGCCCTGGCGGGCGCGGAGGAAGTCACGTGGCGCGCGCTCACATGACTGGCGGCGCGATGGACCTGCTACCCGCGGCGCCAGCAGCTGCAGCGGCTGAGCCGGAGGCAGACGAGGAGGCGGACCCGCCGGCTGCAGGTATGGCAGGCACCCACCAGGCCCCGCGCTGCTCCGGCCAGCGCCCCCCGAGACCCTGAGGCCTTCGGTACTCTTCCTGTCGGCGGGCGGCCCGCGCCCCGCCGGGTTCCCCCTCCCACTCCCGCGTCCACGCCCAGGAGGGCGCGTGGCCGCGCGGCCCGGCGCCGGAGCACCTGTCCGGGTTTGCGCCTCGCCGCGCGCTTCTGCCCGCGTCTCCCCGGGACTGTCCGGGTCCCTGGGGGCCGCAGGGCCCGCCCGCCCCGCGCTTCCTGCTTGCCGGCCTGCCCGCCGCGTGGGGCGCAGTCCCAGGACCTGCCGGGTCTTGGCAAGAACTCTGGCCGCTCAGGACTTTAGTGTTCTCGAACGCCAGCCGTTCGTGTTTCTCCCTGAGTGCTTTTCTTAGCGGATGAGCGTGAGGCGTGCGTTTTCTAGGATGTCCCTGTTTAAAATGGTACCCCCTCTAGTCTTCTCACTGGAGGATAGATGAAGGTGGGTGTTGGTGTGAGTTACTGCTGCTTCTTGGGGGGTGGCGGGGGCCCAAGGTTGGAAGCTCCGGCTGCGCCGTCTGGCGAGGTGTCCCTGAGGAGGCCATGCTTAGAGTTCTGTAGGGCTGCTAGACACTGGATTCATTAGGGAGAAAAAGAGGCAGAAGTGGAGTGAAGCTGCTGGGGGTAGGGGTGGCGTTGCGCCGGAGTGGCCCCATTGGCATGAAGTCCCTTGGTGAGTCTGCGTCTAGGGAGCAGTCCGCACCCCGCCACCCCCATTGGTCTTTAGTTACTTTTCCTTTCTCATGTAGCTGTGTAAGGAGAAGCATATGATGGCTCTTGCTCGTGGTTAGAACACTGCGTTCATGAGGTCACACGTTCGAGCCCAGGTGGGCCAGTCGGCCCTCCTGTACCAGGGCCGCACGCTGGGCTCCCAGCGTTTGGGTAGGAATGGTTCTTCCCCCGAGGATTGTAAAGCAGCTCAGAGTTCCTGGATGTGATGGTTACTCAGGGGTCTCTTTGCAGGTACAGGGACAGCCCTGACTGTTCCTGCAGGGCTCACCCCCTGTTTGCTATTGTGGTATCATCTACCACAGCTCTCCGAGACTGGCAGCGGGCCTTCCTTGGGGCCGTGGTGATTTTATTAGCCATCCTGGATGGCAGGTGAAATGGTAGAGGAAAAAACCCCCCAAAAACCCCACAACCCAGAGGCAAGTGACTTGTCCACCGTGGGCAGTGTTAAGGGGGCATGTCGTGGTGTGGGTGGTGTTTGGAGGGGCTGGAGTCAGAAAATACAAGTCTTTGAGAATGAATTTTGTCCAGAGATGATATATGTATCTCTCATGCTTTAGCAAAGGTTTATTTTTGACTGTTGAAGAAGCAGTGGCTTATGGGCATACAGCGAATTTCCTCTTCTCTGGTGTTCTGTCCACACAGCCAGAGCCCACCGTTAGTGTTAATTGTGGGGATCGCGGGGGTCTAGGTCTTTGTAGCAGCTTTGGGATTGTCAGAAAAAATTGTGTTCACTGTGGTTTTCAGCCTTAAGGGTCTTTTGTATCATATTCTAATCCCTGGAAGCTCAAGCTATAACTGATAACTCCCTCCTGACAAATTGAACTTTCAATTGTGCAATACGTGGACAAACACCCAGGACATTATAGATTAACGTCTCACCCCATTTGCGATCACCTCCTCTTACCAGTTTGGGATGCATCCTCTCATCGCTCTTTTCGTGTCTTATACATACGTGTACTCAGACAACGTACACCTCCTTGTGTGCTGTGCCCGTGTTTCCCTAGTGTAGTGTGTTAGTTTTCTACTGCTGCTGTAACAAATTACCACAAACATAGTGGCTTAAACAGCAAAAATTTATCATCTTACAGTTCTGGAGGTCAGTAGCCCCAAACAGGTTTCCCTGGGCTAAAATCCAGCTGTGGACAGGGCTGCGTTCCCTCTGGAGGCCCTCGGGGAGAAGGCGTTTCTTGGCCTTTTCCAGCTCCCAGATGCCTTCCGCATTCCTTGCCGGAGGATCCCCTTGCTCCAGCTACCGTGGGCCACACCTTTCTTGTCCTGTCACCTCTCTGATTCTCTTTCTTTTGTTCACTTCCTCCACTTTGAAGGACCCCAGCATTACATTGGGCCCACCTGCTAATCCACATCTTTTGCCCTCCTTTCGCAGTCAGCTCATTAGCAGCCTAAACTTCATCTACACCTTTAATTCCCCTTTACTGTGGAATCTAACAGCTTCACAGGTTCCAGGGCTTAGGACGCGAGTACCTTTAGGGGCCATTATTCTGCCTTAGATACCCGTAAGGAGTGGAATTGCTGGGTCATAGGGTTGCATATTTTTTGTTTTAACGAATCCTTACAAATTATCCTTTCTGGTGGCTATTACCAATTTATACCTGTAACAGCAGTGCATCTTTTCCCATAACCTCATCACCATTTCATACCATTTTTTTAAAAAACTCCCTTCAGCATTAGAGAAATTAAGAACGTGTTTTCTTTTTGTTTTAATTTCTATTTCTTCGATTATCAGTGAGGTTTAGTTTCTTATAATACTTTGACCTTGTGTGGCCTTCTGAACCGATCGTTCTTATTTTTTGCCCATTTTCTTAAGGGATTGTTTTTTTTCTTTGATTTTTAGCAGTTCTTTTTGTATTTTGGACATAAACCTGTGGTGGGTTTTATATTAAAATCATTAACTATCAAAATATCTGACTGGAACACTCTGTTTTCTGACTGTGCAGCATGAGAGTTTATTTCAGGGCTTGTTTAGAGGTTACAGAGCTCAATGATTGTGCCTTAGAGTGACAAAGAATGAGTATGATATGTGCTTGATTGTCTAATCTGATTTTTGCGATTGCATCATACACGGATAAAAAAAATATAGACAGGTTACCACTGTGTATCCCAGCCCTGCTTTCCTACAACCCTGCAGACCTAAACTTGGTTTTTATTTATTGATTTATTTATTTATTGGCCACTCTGCGCGGTTTGGGGGATCTTTGTTCCCTGACCAGGGATTGAACCCGAGCCCTTGGCAGTGCAAGTGCCTCATCCTGACCACTGGACTGCCGGAGAAGTCCCCTAAACTTGGTTGTTAGAACAAGGGAGAATCATCTTCACTTCCATTGGAGCGCCTCATTGGACGGTACTCCATACATCCCATTCGGTTAGGAAGCTCTGAGCCGTTTGTCTTCCCAAACCTCTGGCTGCCTCCTGGTTTTCTATGGGGTCAGGCCTGAACTCTGCTCATCCTCTGAGCGCCTCCATGACCGGCCGCACCCTCTCTGCACGCCTGCGCGGTTTCCACGCCCCTGTGCTCCCGCCACCACCCTCGCTGCTGCTGCTCTGCCTGTACACATCTGTTAGGCAAGTCATGAGCTGTCACTTGAGATGTGTGCATTTGACGGATTAAATTATATGCTTAAAGTACCATCTGCATTGGGGCAAAAAACCTTCCTGTCCATTCCTCTCCCTCCGTTACACACATTTCTGTTGTCAACTCCTGACCGGCAGAAACCATTCTTTTTCTTTACATCCCAGTAGCTAGAATAGTGTCTGCTTTGTGGAAAGGGCTCTGATGTTGGAAAAGAATTACAGTTTTTTTTTTTCCCCCGTGACATGCGGGATCTTAGTTCCCCGACCAGGGATCGAACCTGGGCCTCCTGCAGTGGAAGCTCGGAGTCCTAACCACTGGACCACCAGGGAAGCCCTAGAATTACATTTTTATTGTCAGTGTTTTTAGGATAGAATCACATTTTAGTTTGGTAACAATGGTAGCTATGCAGATATTATTTAAATCGGTGTTAATGGTCTTTGAACTCCGTCTCTTTCTCCCTTTCACACACACACACACACACACACACACACACACAATTTGCAAGGTAAAAGGTGTCCATTTGAAGAAAGAGGAACTGAATCACTATTACGTAGAACACGTTTTGCCAGAATTTGTGGTTAGCAAGAAAGTGATGTGTTCCGGGTTGGGGAATTCTGTTTTGGTTTATTTTTTCCTTCCTAAGAAAAATGCACCAGAAAAAGAGATGTCTGGCCTGCGGTGTGCTGGGGTGACGGGGAGGGGCTGGAGTGGTGAGATGCTGGAGAGATGTGAGCCGCCTTCTGTGGCCCGCGGTGCATGTTAAGAGGAGCTGCCCTGGTGGTTAGAACCTGGGGCAAGTGAGCAGACAGGCGGCCCGGACCCTCGGGAATTCGAAGAGCTCAACCCTTGACCATGCACGTTACCCTCTGAAGAACTGTAGTGCTTTCATCCTTTGAACGTTTTTGTTGTAGAATCATTAAGAAGTCATAGCCAGACTTGGGGTAGACGTTCTTGGTGAAGGTACCAGTATTAAAACCTCACGTGGGACAGGCGGGCGCAAGAGGGCCCCAGACATGACCTGTGAGTTGAGCTCTAGGGGAAGCTGAGGCCACACTTGGCTCTATTTCCTGCTGGCCAGGTTGTAGGAGGACACACGTGTCCTTGGGGTGTGTGGATAGGCATGTTGGCGGGGGCGGGGGGGGGTCCTTCAGCACTCTTAACTCAATTTGGAGTATGTGTGCTAAGCAAAAGGAAAGGGAAATTGCATGATTGATGAATTCCAGGGAAGCTTGGTAGGGACTGGAGACACATCTCTGAGAAGTACATTTACGTGATTTTCCGACAGTCTTCAACCTGATTTGTGCCAGTGAAGTTCTCTCTGACGAGTCTATGAGTGGACTGTAAGCAGAGCAGTAAAGTTTCATGTGGTATGTGATTTGGCACTTCGAGGAGAATGTTGCTGTACAAGTAAGATAAGCGCAAATACAAACGTCTTGCAAAAGGGAGCTCACGGGTGAGCTCGCAGCTGCTGCGTTTAGTATGTTTCCTTTTTTCCTCTGCACACGCGTTTGAGACAGTTAACCGCAGGGTGTGTTTGCGTTTGGTTTGTTAGTCTGTGCGTCTCACTTAGCGTTAGTCTACACCACTAAGAAGTTCTCATAATTCTGTATTTGATGTCTGTGTAATAATGA